GGAACCAGGTGTTTCAGGACGCCCAGATCAGCCACTGGCTACTCGAGAAACACAAAGAAGGCTCGCACTTCGGTGTAGTTGGCCCCATAATAATACAAAGGCTAACAGAAATTCCCCTAAAACCCCATGAAGAGCTTCTGAAGGAGCTCCTTAATACCCCTTTGGGCTTAAGGCAACAGATGGGTAGTGGGCAAATACCGATGCAACCTGGTGTCCGCTCGACTTTACAGGGACAAGAGGCTACTATCGAGAAATCAGCCCCTCCTGGACATGTGAAGGTACCTCCACGCCTGCCGATGGCCTTGATTTCTCCTGAAGCCTCTGTGGAATCTGGGCATCGCACAGGGGTTGATGCGTCTGCACATCATATGCCAGGAACATCAGCCACTTTGAGGATGCCTGATACCGCAGGAAGTCTGGATGTAGCTGAGAGTGGAGGAGTTTCTGATGGCCCTGGGGCTACCGGTGCGTCTTGGAGATCTGCTGTCGCTCCCGTGTCTGTGGAATCTAGTTCCTCCCTGGTTCTTCAAACATCAATTCCCCCGTTGGTATCGCAATCTCGCCCTGCTTTGGCGACCTACAGTGGAGCCTCTGGCTTCGTGGGAATGTCATTGCCATCAAGCTCTGTGGTTGCTTCTCGACCAGTGGATACTACAAGTAACCAGCATGCATCGGGTCCATTAGACACGTCTACTGGTGCGGAGACGCCAAGCTTGACAACAATAGTGGAACGTTCCCTCATATATCAACCCATACCTGTACAGGGGTCTGGCCACCACGAATTGGGTCAGAGAGAGGTCGGTCCCGCTTCCACTGAAAATTCTGGCTGGACGCTGGCGCCTGTTGGAGAGTCCTTAGTGCGGCAATGGAGGGACCGGCAACCACCGCAAGGTTCCTTGGCATGGGTTGCTGCTGCACCTAGAACTCATGTTGAGTTGGGTGAGGCTTGGCCAGGTGACCCAACAAAGCATGGCCTTTGGGGTCCGAATGAACATGGTATTCCTCTCTCGCAGCCTGCGCTACCTAGGGCGACGCGCCGACCCCTTTTTCAGGGGCCTCCTTTTGCTCAGCTATATGCTTCGAGGGAGAGTTCGGGAGGCGTGGCTGTTGGCCCCAGCATTTGGTCTTCGGAAGGCTCAACAAGCAGCGAAGGAGCAATGCGGCTTTGGACTGGGGGCCCTGGCACTCCGTTGCAGCTGTTACCAGCACTCGGGCGGGGGAGTCTGGCGAACAGCCGCTGGGACGTTTCTCTACAGAGACCTTCGGGGCTCGGAAGATCTGGGCTTCCATTCAAGGGTGTGCCTGTAGGAGAGCCAAAGGGAGCGCTACAAGAGACAAATGCAACTAGAGCGGCAGGCGTAGCGCAAACTCTATTTTCTCCGGCTTCTGCAGGGTTTGGCCAAGGCCTGCATTCATTTCGAGCCTCCGGCACCGATTCTGATGGGCGCTAGCTTTTGAATTCTCCTGTGACGACGACAGCCAATAGGACTAAATGTAAAAGATTCGTCCCCGGAGGGAAGGAACTGTATGGGAATAGGGCGACTTTTATGTTTGTCCCTCATCCGTCCTTTGGTTCTGCAACAGGTTGAGAAGGGTAGGGAATTGATGTGTCTTATCCGTCTTTTACTCGGACGGTTTATAACCCAGCTGGAACGCGGCGGAGTCCGAATACAGCACCGACCAAACAAGATGGGTAGGTGAAAACGAAGTTGTCTACTCATACTTGATGTGCATGCCTCGTCTATCGAATACCCCGTATGGGCGAGATTCAGGAGGGGTATGGGGATTCAAATATTCCCAGGTATTGGGGACGGAGTGTATATTGTTACTACCTTCGCTGAGATTGACTCACCAGTAACCTAATTTGTAGCTGTCCTTCCGTGGATTTCAGTGCATCGAGCTACTTGTTTGGTTGCATTTGAATGTCCGTTCGTACCATGTCGTGCCACGCACCCGTGCCTGTTGCAACTGAAATAGGCAGGAGTAGCCAAGTTCGTGTAGGAATGGGGTTTTTCCGTTTTGAGTGAGTAGGGGAGGTTCGGTATGGCTGTTAGCGTAGCTTCTCCCTCTTTTCCGTGGGTCATCAACTGCTGAAGCACTTTACTTCAGGGAGTTGTTTGGAAATGCAGACAGGGGCACTGCAATATTGTTACGTGCATCCAGAACTGAAGGGCACCCCCTTGAATGGGATGCAGAGCGTTTCTTTCTGATGTATTGGTTGCAGTACGAGGGTCAAGGAACGCAGGGACAGTTAATCATACTATTGCAACTTTCAAAAGCTGTCCCCTCTAAGTTTATTAACAGCTGCTAATTTTTCGGCCAGTATATATCGTCAACGCAGAGCTGAATTGTGTTG